TAGATGTTCTCCAAATTCTCATGCACTCATGGGGCGGGGGGTTGGGAAGTGGGGACATGGCTTTTTGGAGGCAGATGAATCCAGCTTGTGATTGATTTATGGGTTCCAATGTGGGTATTAACAGTGTGAGTGTTACACTCTTCCTAGGGTGGGTAACCTGCATGCAATATATGGGACAAAAAGAAATTTGCTCTCTTGTTCTCCACTCCTCCTTACTTTTACTGTCTTCTGCCACCATGAACTATTGACTCCTGTCATGTGCCACCTTTACTTGAAATAGCCAACTATGGACTGAAATCTCTACAAAGTGTCAGCTAACTGAATTTTCTCAAGACAAAATATCCAACACCTAAAGTGAAAGGAGAAAAGGTTTATTTAGCTGACACTTCATAGAGATTTCAGTTCACTTTAAGTGTTGGCTATTTTGTCTTGAGAAAATTCAAGAAGCAATAGAAAAAAAAAAAAAAAAACAAAAAAAAAAAAAAAACAGAAACAAAAACAAAAACAAAAAACAAGGACAAGTCCACGTCCTGACAGATTCACTGCTGAATTTTACAAGAACTTTAAAGAAGATATAATTTCACTAGTCCTCAAACACTTTAATGAAATTGTAGGACAAACAATATTCCAAAACTCATTTTCTGAAACAAGCATTACCTTAATATCAAAACCAGAGAAAGACACAACCAAAAAACAGACAATGACAGGCCAATCTCTTTAATAAACACAGATGCAAATATTCTCAATAAAATACTGGCAAACAGACGCAGCAAATCAGGCATAACAGCACATATCTGTAATCCCAGAACTCAGGAAGCTACGGCAGGAGTACCTCTGATAGTTTGAAGCCAGTCTGGACTTCTTGGTGAGTTCAAGGCCAACCTACACAGTGAGACTCAGTCTCAAGAAACAGAAACAAAAACAGATGCAACAAATCATCAAGAAGATTATACACCACGAACAAGTAGGATTCATCTCAAGGAGACAGAGATATTTCAATATGCACAAAATCAATTAATACACCACATTAACAGAACCAAGAATAAAGCCCACATGACCCCCTCAATAGATGCAAAAAAGCATATAACAAAGTCCAACACCCATTCATGATGAAAATTCTAAAGAAAATTTGAATAGAAGGTCCTTGTCACAACCTGATAAAACCTATCTATGACAAACAAACACCCAACATGATACTAAAGGTCAAAAACTGAAAGCTTTCACTCTAAAACTAGGAACAAAACATAGATGCCCACTGCCACCACTCCTATTCAATACAGTTATGGCAACAATTCCTTGGGTAATAACACAAAACAAAATAATAAAATAAATATGGGTAGGAAAGGAAAAAGTTAAATTATCATTACTTATTGATGACACCATACTCTACATAGAAGATCCCCAAAACATCAATATTCCTAAATGTAATGACCAAATTCAGCAGCATAGTAGGATACAAAGTCAGCACTCAAAATCAATAGCCTTCCTATACACAAATAGCAAACTCACTAAGAGAGAAATCAGGGAAACACCTTTAAGAATCACAGTAAGAAAAATCAAATACATAGAAATCAGTCTAACAAATGAAAGGCCATTACATTGAAAATTATAGTACTCTGAAAAAGGAAATTAAACTGGATATCAGAAAATGGAAAAATATCCCATTCTTGGGTACCAAATAGTCAAAATTGACATACTTCCTAAACTGGTACACAAATTTAATGCAATCCCAATGAAAAGACTAACAGTATATCTCACAGAACTAGAGGAAATAATCTTAAATTTTTATGAAACCAGAAGAGACCTAAAATAACAAAAGCAATTGTGAGCAACATAGCTCAGCAGGGGATATCATGATCCATGATGAAATTATACTACAAAGCTACCATGATATAAACAGCACAGTACTGGCAAAAAAAAAAAGGGGGGGGGAATCAATGGAACCAAGCAGAAGAAGCAGAAACATCTCCAAGCACATTCAAATAACTTATCTTTGACAATGGAGCCAAACACCTTCACTGGAAGGAAGATAGGTTCTTCAATAAAGGGTGTTGGACCAAGCCAGGAGCCTTGGTAACTCATTGCCAAACACCCCCACCTTGATGGAGCTTGAAAAATGTCAAAGGAAGGAGCAAAAGGCAATCTTAGGCCTCCAGCCCACCCAAAGCAAGTTCAGAAGAAAAGGACATGAAGGAACTTGGGAGTCAGACACCTAACATTTCAGAAATGACAACAACTGAAGTAAAGAAACAATTCCATGAAGCTATAGAACAAATCAGATCACACATAAATCTCTCAGGTAAAAAAGGAAATTACAACAATCATGAAAGAATTACTCAGCATATCTAAACAAGACAGATTAAAGAAAAATAGAGGAGCATAGAAAAAATGATAGAAACACTAAATCAACAATACAGGAAAGAATTAGAATGCATGAAACAGGTTAAAACAAATACCTAGGAAATTAAGAAATTCCATTGAAAGGTGGCAAAACTACTTGAACAAGCTGAATACAGACTTTTAGACCTTGAAGACAGTTTTGCAAGTAGCAAAACCCTCTTAAAAAATAACAAGGAAATAACCATTCAATAGCTGCAAGAAGATGCAAAGAACAACAATATAAAACTAACGGGTGTCAATAAAAAACAGCAGGATTCAACACAAATGACATAAAAACACTATTTGCAGAAGTTCAGCAGAAAATTTCCAAAGCATGGGAACAGAATCTGAAGTACAAATCAGTGAGGCATACAGAACTCCAATTAGCTATAAGCAAAATAAATCTATACCCAGACTCATAATTATCAAGATCCCAGCTATTCAGCAAAAGGACAAATATTAAAAGCTATCAGAGAAAAGCAACAAATGACCTATAACACAAAGCCCATCAGAATTACGGCAGATGTCGCACCACAAATCATCAACTCATGAGCTTGGAGTGAAGTATTTAAGGTTCTGAAAGAAAACAACTTCTAACCCAGACTGACGTACCCTGAAAAACTGTCAAAGTCCATGGCAAGACAAGATCCTTCCATGACAAAGAATAACTGAAAAAATTCATGACCCTTAGCCAACCTACAAACCAAGTCTACAAAGAATACTGAAAGATATTCTATACAGGGATAAAAATGACCACAATTTCTTTCTTTCTTTCTTTTTTTTTTTTTTTTTTTTTTGTACTGGGGATTGAACTTAGGACCCTGTGCTTGCCAGGCAAGCACTTGTTCTACTGAGCTATCTCCCCAGCCCCATAAAAATGACCACAATTTCAAGAACAACAAAAAGAAACCACCACCCAGGGTAAGCAATGAAATGGAGGACAAAAGTAGGGAATCTACAGCAGGAAAATAACACGACAAAGGTAAGCCAATACATATCAGTTACAACCATCAATGTAAATGTCTCAATTCACCAATCAAAAGATCAGACTGGCAGAGTGGATCAAGAAACAAAATCCAACAATATGCCACATACAAGAAACACATTTAACTCAAAAGGTAATTCACAGACTGAAAGTCTAAGGATGGAAAACAATACTCCATGCAACAGGAACCCACAAAAAAAGCAGGGATAGCTATTGTTGATGGCTTCTGAGAATGTGAACTTCAAACCAAGAATGATTAAAAGAGATAAAGAAGGTCACTATATACTGCTGAGGGGAAAACTGCAAGAGGAAGAGATAACAGTCATAATATATGCACTCAATGTAGGAACACCCAACTATATTAGACAAATATTAACAGACTTGAGAAATCAAACAATCAATGACACAATTATAATGGGGGACTTTAACACCCCATTTTCACAAAGATAGATCAACCAGGCCAAAAAAAAAAAATCAGCAAAGAAATGACAGAACTAACCAAACTTTTGAAGAAATGAACTCAGTAGAGGCCTTTATAGATTGGTCCACCCAACATCAGAATACAGATTCTTCTCAGCTGCACAAGGGATGGTCCCCAAAACAGACCACATGCTAGCACAATACAGCTTAAGTAAATGCAAAGGAACTGAAATTATCCCATTTCAGTCAATAAAATTGAAAATGCAATTAAAAACTTATCAACAAAGAAAACCCCAAGTTCTGATGGATTCACAGCTGAATTCTACAAGAAATTTAGAGAAGATTTAATACTCCTCAAACTCTTCAATGAAACTGAAAGAGAAGCAATTCTCCATAGCTCATTCCTGGAGGCATGTATTACTCTGATATCAAAGAAAGACCCAACCAACAAGAGAACTTCAGGCCAATCTCCCTAATGAATACTATCTTCAACAAATACTATCAAAAAGAATGCAGCGAATTGTCAAGAAGAGTACATTCTAGTGAGGTTTATTCTAGGAATACAAGGATGGTTCAATACACACAAATGAAACAATACAATGCACCACATCAACACAGCCAAAGATAAAAATCACATGATCACCTCAATAGATGTAGATCCCTAGGCCTGCCATTCTGGCCCTGCCCTCGGGGCACACAGAGATAGCAATTGAAACTGGGCGGATCACTATGAGTCCAATCTATCAGTGAGACACTGAACACCCTGTAGACCCTTCCCTAAAATAAAAAAAAATTTAAAACAATGAAAACGTTCAGAATGGTGAAAAAACATTGCCAGCTCTTCCTCAGATAGAGGACTCATATCTAAAATACAGAAAGAACTCAAATAGAAAATAACAAGACCTTCCCCACAAAAGATTTAATCAAAAAATGGGCAAGTGAAAGGAACAGACATTTATCAGAGGAAGAAGTCTAAATGGTCAAAAAATACATGAAAAATGTATTTTTCGTTGGCCATTTGAGAAATGCAAATTAAGACAACACTGCGATTCCATCTCACCCACCCCCCACGGCCGTCATCAAGAAGTCAGGTAATAACAAATGCTGGTGAGACTGCAGGGGAAAATGACCACTTCTAAACTGTTAGAGGGATGGAAAGTAATAGACTCACTAGGCAGATCAGTGATGCTTCTAAAACTGAAGCTAGAAATTCCATTTTACCCAGCCAGCTATTCCTCTTGTACTGATACATGCAAAGCTATTTTTATAGCAGCACAGTTCCTAATAGCTAAATCTTGGAAGATTTATGTCATGAACAGCTGAACAGACAAAGAAAATGCAGTATTTACATATAATGGAGTACTACTCTGCCATAAATAAAAACAAATGAGACTTATGCAGAAGAACGGATGCATCTTGAGACTATAATGATAAGTGAAATAATCACACACACGCAAGCTTAAATCACATGGTTTCTTTTATACGAGAATCTTAAAGTATAAATAAAAGCAAAAATAAAAGATAAATAGAAGCAGGGATACAGAACTTTCTCAAAGGGGAAGGGGACCAAGAGATGGAGAGGAAAAGAAGAGGGAGGGGTGGGAACAGAAAAGAACTGAAGATGTATTGTGTACGTGTACAGCTCTCTCAAAGAGCAGAAAAGGTATGGACTGCATATGCCCTAAGAAACGAATGATTTCAAAAGAAAAAACAATGAATCCTGCCTCAGTATACAAAGGGCCTTGAGATACAACATAACCACCATGACATGCGCACATACACCGCATATAATTGACAAATAAGTCACAAACGTACACAGGAATGATCAAAAGCATTTGGAAGTCACAGAAAATTACAGTATAAGTTACTGCAATCATACCAAAAGTTTTATCCACATTATTTCTTTTCTATAGGGAATTAAGAATTCAAAGTCCTATCAATCAACCCTTAAAGGCTTTAAAGGAAAATAAGGTGAAGGCTGAAAACCTGAGAAGGCGTGATTTCTTCCCCCCCCCCTTTTATTTTTCCTCTTCTAAAAGTGTGGGGAATTTCAGAGCGATGCCAAGCACAGCTTCTAGGGTTTAAGAAACATTTCTACACTTCAACCCATAACCTCATCGGTGACATAAGAGGTCTAGATTAACCAGCCACAGTCTCCAAAATGATGGGGGGGGGGCAAAGAAATATCACTCACACTTTTCTAAGCCAAGAGCAAGCCATTCCGTCTACTTGAATGCAGGTGCTTAGGAAAAACAGCTGTTGTTTAAATTATTAATGTTATTTCTTATGTTAGGTCACTTAAAAGGGACTGAACCTTTCCATAGAACAACTTTTCTAGAAGAGAAAAATGACAATAATGCAACAGAACCCAAGTGGAGTCCCACAGCACCACCTCCCCGGCCTCCTCCCACGAGCTCAGAGATGGGGGTGCTGTCCCTTGAGTGACTCCGCACCCACGCAGAGGCAGAAGGTCTTAGGTAGGCACCCGGGCCGCTCAGGTCCTCCCTCTTTCCCAAAAAGAAAATGCAGGCCTTTCCTACAGCCCAGGATCAACAGCAACAGCACCCTCGGGGACCCGCTCCCTTTCACCTCATTTCTTTCCTGTTCCCGCAAAGTCGATTTTTAAAAAGTGAAAAATCCGGTAACCTCTTCACCGGAGGGCAAAACACTGTTTGCAAGCTAAGCTTTTCACCCGGAACGAAGGTGCACGCCTGTAACCAACCACAGATCACAGGAGGCTGAAGCAGGAAGATCACAAGTGAGCGATCCAGCCTGGGCACAGCAGGGAGAGCCAGTCACACAAACAGAAATGAAACAAGGACTGGGGACGTAGCTCAGGGCTAAAGTCCTGGTCAATCCTCAGTGCGGGGGCGGGAGGTGAACCTTCCGTCTCTCTCATGTGCCCTCACAGTCTGGCCTCTACCTGCAGAGCTGAGTCATCGCGGGCAGGCAGCGGTTCGCCTCGGCGGACATCTCGCCGTCCCCGGAGCGCCAGGGCCAGGCCCCTACAGCGAGGAGGGCGCAGGGCTGCACCCCAGCCCGCGCGCCCGCACCCAGACCCTGGGGCAGCGGTGGACAAAAGGAGCTGAGCTCAGCGGAAGCCTCGCTCGGGCGGGACTCCGGCTTCAAACAGGAAGCGCGCGGCGGAAGGAGAACAGCGGCTGCGGGCGCGCCGGGACCGAGATCGCGGGCCCCGCCGCGCCGCCCACGCGCACCCCGGGCGCACCCCCCCACCCTTGGACGCCCCCCCACGCATCCCGGCGCGGCGCCTCCCGGGCCGCGGGCGCACGTCCGCCCCACCCCGGCCCGGAGTCACGGAGCCCGCGGAGAGCGGGGATCTGTAGGGCACCTCGCGGCCTTCGGCGCGGGTGCGGAGCTGGGCGGTGGGTTTGCCTGCGTGGAAAGCTTCCGGGCGGCTCGACGGCGGCCGGCCTCTCACCGCGAGTGTCCCCGGCGTCCCCGCTGCCAGCGCGCCGGAGCGGACTCCCCGCCGCGCCTCCGGATCCCGACGCACGGAAGCGCTCGCTCCTCCGGAGGGAAGGGGAATCCGGAGTCTACACTGCGCCGGCGGCGACCCGCATAAGTTTCCTTAACTGGAGGAAACAGGTCTTCATGCACCAAAATGCCTCAGCTGAATTAAGAGCTAAAGAAGGACGATGACAGGAGCAAAGGAAAAGAAACAAAAGACCTGAGCACGCGCGATGCCCTGGCCCGCTGCGTGCCCTGTGACCCGCACCTGCTGGCCCGCGGCCTGCCCCATCGCCACCCGGAGTAGAGCTGCAGTGGGCCGAGCTGAAGAAGATTCGCGCGTGATCTGCGACCTGAGTGACCGCAGTCAGGAAAGTGGACCTTTAGCGCTGCTCTTAGCTCCCCAGGCTTCGTCTGCCTTCCTAGCGCGGTGGACCTCCGCTTCCCTTTATTGTGCTTTCCAGTAGGGCTCTACCAAGTGTCTCGTTTACCAGCAACTCATTAGCCACTAAGTCAGTGACCCTCACACATTAGGTAGCACATCGATACGTTTAGGTGCAAAGGCAGCTGGCTGAAATTAGCTGCATCTTTACTGAATGTGGATCGCTTCCAAGTTTCATTAGATTTTCTTAGAACATATATACACGAGTGTGTGTGTGTGTGTGTGTGTGTGTGTGTGTGTAAGCATTGACTTGACATTCCTTATAAAGGTCCATTCTTGGGCTGGCCAGATAACTCAGCGGACTAAAGCGCCTCCTTAGGAAGAAGCATGGGTTGGAGGTTTGATCCCCTGCCTGCCATGCCAGCCCCATGCCCAGGGCATGCTACCATAGGGATTGAGACTGCGTGTGGTGGTGAGAGCCTGTAATCCCAGCGCTGAAGAGGCTGAAAGCAGGCGGATTACAAGTCCGATCTGTGTAGTGAGACCCTGTAGACCTTGTACTAAAAATACAAAAAAAAAAAAAAGTCCATTCTGTTTCCTTTGTTTGTCTCACCCTAAATACTTAACCTAATCAGTTACTGGCTCTAAACTGTGGCTGTATGTTCTTTACAGTGGGCACTGGAACTCACATTTTGCCTGTTCAGAGTCCTTCGCTTGCTTCTGTGGCCCAATTCTCATACAGAAAAATCAGAGAACTCTTAAATAGGATACTTCCCACCTCCCACCCTCCACAGGCTACAGCCTTGGCCACCCATCCCCGATAAGAAATTGACTTTTTTTTTCCCATTATATTTTATTTTATTTATTCATTTTGTATTTTAGGGAAGGTTCTATAGGGTGTTCAGGGTCTCACTACTAGATCGGACTCGTAGTGATCCGCCTGTTTACAGCCTCCCAAGAGCTGGGATTACAGGTGCGAGCTACCGCGCCCGGTCTCAATTGCTGAAAGCTGACTTTGTGTTGGTTTTCTGTTTGCTGCTGTAACACATTGTTATAACCTGAATGTATTGGAACAAAACCCATTCACTAACTTACAGTTCTGTGGGTTGGACTTCTTACCGCAGGGGTGTGTTCCTTCCTAGGATCTACGGGAGACTTGTTTGCCAATAGTGTGTTCTGCCAAGAGAATCCAGAACAGCTTCTCCACCTTAGGGTCTCAGCTTGTGAAGTTCAGTTTACCATAAAAGGGACATTTGTAGCTTCTAGAGACATAACTTTTGAGTAGGCATTATTCTGCCTACCTCCATCACGTCAGTTGAGCCTCTTCCCAGGCATGGAAAGTACGGCGACACATTCATTCCACTCCCCATCCTCGGTACCCAGACAATAGGGCTGGTTCTGGTGTGTCCCAGATCCTGGCTCTTTGGTTTTGTTTCAACTCTGAGCCTAGAACTTGAAACCCTAAATGTAAGACAGAACAGAGCAGCAGAGGTGCAGTTCTAATCAGGGTTTCCGTGGTAGCAAGCAGACACAGAAATACTAATCTTAAAGAAAAGGGGAAGCAACTAGGCTGTTGTTAAGGTCTTACAAAATTGGTGGTAAGAATCAGTAAAATCAAGTTGATTTGTTTCCAGGGAACTTAGAAAATTTGGATATGGCAGGGAGCTAAGCTCATCGCAAAGGTAAGGACTGTGATGTGTGTGTCACACTCGGCTGCAGCTTTAGGAACTTGACCTCCAGCTGACCACGTGTCCCTGCAACACTTGCTGAACATAGAAACTGTGTTTTTCCGTGGAAGGAATCTGATTGGCCTGTCCATCACCCAAGGCCAGCAGAAAAACTATATTTTCTGTAGTAGAGAGTGGCCACTAATCCTCACTGAGGCTTCACCCCCAAAACACTCCCCCAAAATAAAGATATAGGATGCAGACAGGCAAAAGACTAATGTCCTTAGGGCTGGCCAGATAGCTCAGCAGACTAAAGCGCCTGCTTAGGCAGAGTGCAGCGGCTAGGGTTTGATCGTGGGCGTGCTGTGCCGGCTCCGCCCCAGGGGTACACTGAGACAGCCATTGAGACTGGGCAGGGTGGTACGCGCCTGTAATCCCAGCACTTGGGAGGCTGAAAACAGGAGAATCACCAATTCTACGTAGTGAGACCAGTCTACGCAGTGAGACTCTGTAGACCCTGTACCGAATACATTTAAAAAAAAGACTAATTTCCTTGACAAGTATCTTGTGATTCAGAGAGCCGTGGAAGTTTAACAAAGGGAGAAGTCAGAACTGTGTAGGGAGATCAGTAAAGAAAGTGAATGGAGGATCCACTAAAAGTAGAATCTCAGCTGCATACATGAATACTTGGAATTTTCCTGCTAAAAAGAGGGCTGAAGGGGCTGGGGATTTGGCTTAGCAGTATGATGCTTGCCTAGCAAGCTGAAAGCCCTGGGTTTAGTTCTCGGCACCAAAACCAAAAAATAAACCTCTCCTAAAAAAACAATTCAACCAAAATAAAGGAGGGCTGGGAAGATAGCTCAGTGGTCTAAGCACCTGCCTGGAAAGTGCAAGGACCGGAGTACTACATGCCTGCAGTACTGGCCTGGAAACCAGGTGTGGCAACACATTCCTGTAGTCTCAGCCCTGAGGAGGCTGAGACAGGAGGATCACTACAAGGCCAAGCTGGTAGGGAAACTGTATCCAATCAATCAGTCAATCAACTAAAAAGAAACAAGTGGATGTATTTTTGGTTACAATGCATTAACATTAATGAAGTATGTTTTCAGGGAAAAACTAAGTCTTTGACATTTCCTCTTTGCTTCCGGCTTCCAGTGCACGTCAGTGAGGCCAGCGCATTCCTGCTCCAGGGCTTGACTTTCTTCCAGAGGGTGGCAGTCAGATGGAGTCCAGATTTGTCATCCCAGGAAAAAAATTATTAGAATTCCAATAGGTAATCCCAATCTACCCCTACCAGTGATATCCACAATGAGAATAAAGAAATGAACACATATCTGTAGATGTGGAGAGCTGAGGGTGCTAAGTACAGTTAAAACAATGGCTAACCAGAACAAAGGCCTCAACTGGGGCCCAAACTGTGTTTCATTAATTCATGAAGAGGGGAGTGGCTTGAGGATGAGTAACTGAGAGAATGGTGGGAAACATGTGAATGCCATGGGCTGGACGAGGTAGGGGGCATGGTAGTACCCCTGGAACATGCAGAGAGAGAGAGAGAGGTGTGCAGAAGGGGTAATCTGCATAACACAGCTTTTTTGTGTTTTGGGGCCTGGCGCGTCAGTCATAGTCTTCATGCCCTGTGACTTTGGGGTCCCAGCTGCTGCTTGCCAGGAGCCTGTCCTTCCAGAGATCAGAGAGGAATGCAGGGCAGTTGGGGCCCAGGAGAGGGCACCATGTCTTCTGTCAGTAGCTCTTGCCTCCCGAGTTTAGATGGAAGGAAGGCAAACTTCATAATTGACATTTGGACCTTGTCCCCATGCACGGGCTGTGGCTGTCTCCTCCTGGTGTAGGAACTGTGTGCACTGAAGCACAGCCATATGCAGCCAGGTCCGGGTGCCTTTCTGCATAACCAGCACTGTCTCCGAGATAGCCAGCTTTATTTTTATTTTTTATTTATTTTTTTTATGTATTTAGTACAGGGTCTATAGGGTCTCACTAGGTAGGTTGGACTCATAGTGATTCTCCTGTTTTCAGCCTCCCAGCTGCTGGGATTATAGGTGTGCACCAGCACACCCAGTCTCAGTTGCCATCTCAGCGCGCCCTGGGGATCAAACCCCAGCTGCTGAGTCTGCTGAGCTATCTGGCCAGCCCCTGCCGCTTTAAACAAGAGGAAAAGGAAGTCAGAATAAGGGGGCCTGCTGTTTGTTTGCAGACAGCCACAGCATCCTATCATCCATTCTGCCCTGGTCAATGAAAGAGGATAAATTTTAAAAATTTATTTTATTTAGCCCACTGTGTCCAAAATATCACTTCAACATATAATAAAAATAAAATATTGATGAGACATTTTATAAGCAATGAAGTACTGATATATTAATGCATTGCTCAGAGCTGGGAACATAGCTCAGCAACACATCACCTGCCTGGCAAGCACAAGGTCCTAAGTTTGATTCCCATTACAAACAAAAGATGAATATATTGTTCCAATTCTTCTAATTAAAATGAAATAAAATTAGTGGTGGTGTAGCAGGGACTCAGAAGGGGGGAATGGAATGACCATGTTTAATGGGTGTAGCATTTCCATGTTGTAAGATGAAAAAGTTTTGAAGATGTTACACAAAGGTGGATATTATAACACTACTGAGATATATATAACCTTAAAGTTAAGATGGTAACTATTACCTTCCACAAGTAAAAGATTTATTAATTCAATAAAAAATTTAAAAATTCAATTCCTCAGTTGCACCACAGCATTTATGCTGATAGCTACCCTGATGCATACATAGCTTAGGTCTAAGAGTTGGTGTTCCCACCTGGATTCAGTCAGGAAAAACTGACTTCTTAATAGGGAAAGCCTAATATTGGACCCATTAAGTATAACTGGGGAGTGGACAGAAAAGGGTTTGGCTAATGAGAACAGGAACCTAAGAAATGCAGGCCTCATGGCAAACATGTGTAACCCCAGTACTCCGGGAGGCTGAGGTAGGAGGGCAACAACAATTTATCAAGATCCTACCTCAAAAAAAAAAAAAAAAAAAAGGTTAGGATATATCTCTGTAAGGATCCTGGGTACATTTGCAAGTACTGAAATATCTATGTATCAACCATTAACCCTTATGGCTGAGAGGAAGGACCCAAGGAAAAGCACCCTGTCAGCCCACCCACTCCCAGAAATAAGATGGAGACCTTGTTGGGTGGGCCATTACCGTGGTTCCCTCAACCATAGAGAAGTTCCCTTGGTGTTAGTAGAACTTTCTAGAACTCTGTCCTGTGAAAGGAAACTCTAACCTGTGGAACTTTCTAGAACTCTGTCTTCTGAAATGCAGGAGAAGATTCTGGGGTCTGACTGCTGTGCACCACACATCTTGTTTGTTGTCTAGCAGCTGTTTTCTTATCTTAAGCCTGCTTCACTTGGGAGAATTATTCCTTGCTGACTGGTCCCTCTCCCCAAAATATACCCATGTCTAACTCATACAACCAATAAACTTTAGGACCAAAGATACTGATACACTAAGGATCTTGAGAGGAGGATCTCATCCCAGGTTATGCAGCCGACCCTAAGTGGAATTATAAGTGTCCTTGTAAGAGAAAGGCAAAAGACAGGGAAGGAGCAGTATGATCTTGAACTTGGGAGCTGAGACTGAAAGGACCAAAGAGCTCCTGGAACCATGACAAAGTGGAATGGATTGTCTCCTGCACCTTTGCAGAGAGCTCATCCCTCCTGAACTCTAGGAGGAAAAC